TAACATTCATTGCAGCATGTCATCACCACAAAGGCCTCATGAGGCTGCTGCTATTTTTTTTTCCATTTTGCAGACAAGGTTTAGAGAGATTGAATCACCTGCATAGGCCCACACACCCAATAAGTATTGGAATCCGGATTGATTCTGTAATGACCATTATCCAGATCATTATTACCATTTGGGGATATTGTCTGAAAATTCCTCTGGGTTATTTATAGTCAAGCTTTCATCTGGGTCTTCAGGAAGTTGCAGTAGAGCCATCTGCACTCCCCGACACACCTAACAGAAAATGCTCCCACTGTTTCAAATGCCCTCTGGGTGACAGCCTCAGGTGACATACTCTGCATGACTCACAGTTGACAGGAGACCACAGTGCTGACAGGAGGTCAAAGACATCCAGCCCTGCCTGCACCTCATTCTGACTGCTCCTCTGGGCAGAAGGTGGATCTTTCTGATGGGGAACAGAGGCCTAGGCAGTGCAGGGCTCCACGGAGAGCCCATCAAAAACTAATCAGAGGGCAGTAAGTGAGCAAAGACATGCTCAAATATCAATAGCAGCTTGGAGTATGGATAGAATTAATTCATGGAGCACATTGAAGGCAGGGATGAAAAGGGCTACATGTAGAAAGGGGCTGACAGAGCCCTCGCTATTTAATTCTGACCCAGATATCATGCCTGCCTCTGAAGTGAAGGCCTCCTACCCAATGCGCCATATGCACCCTGCTGACGCATGAACAGGTCCTCCGCCTACAGCCTGCTCTTGATCTTCTCTTGGATGGCTTCCACTTATGTTCATTCTGATAGACATAGGCATAGCCACGGGAACATCCTGCATCAATGGCCACCACCGCTTTTTTTACCTTTGCCGAGAGGAGACTGAAAGGCAAAGAAAGTGCCCATCACTACATGTATTTTTTTTGTTTTTGCTGTATGGGACTTGCCATGTTGCCCAGCTGGCCTCACCCCAGGTTCAAGTAATCCTCCTACCTCCCAGTAGCTGGAATTACACCTGCCACCAGCAACCAACATATTGTCTTGTCCCCAGACCACCTTCAACAGGCTGCCCCACATGGGCCCAGTTTCTCTAAACCAAGGCCTCACGGGGTCTCCGTTGCCAGGCAACATCCGGAGGATACATAATTTTAGAAACGCTTTCAAAAGAGGAAAGTGAATTAATTTTATGATTATATCCTTGTGTCCTGTCCTAGCAAAGCCAGTCTTCATCCAGGTTAGGTCCTGAAATGTCTCAGGTGCCGGGAGTAGACATTCTACTGCAACTTCCTGAAGACTCCAGAGGAAGCTTTGACTTAAATACCTAGAGGAATCTCAGACACTATCCCCAAATGGTGATAAGGATCTGGATAATGGTCATTACATCAACTGATTCCAACATACCTACTGCCTAGGGTCTAAGTAGTTGATTCATCTTCTAACCCTTTGTCTGCAAATGAAAAAAAAAAAAGCAGCAGCCGCATAAGGCCTTTGTGATGATGAGCATGTAAATGAATGTTGCTGGGCGCATCACCTGACACACAGTAAAGGCTCAGTAGAGGCCGCTCATTATACAAGGATCCTTTCAGAAAAAAAGGAGAAATAGAAACCCATAGGAATAGGAGTTTGCCTTCTATCTCCATAAGAAGAAAGAGGAGGGAGGGAGAAACGAGAGAGAGGAGAGGAAAGAAGGGAAGGAAAGAAAGAAAGCAAATAGAATTATCAAGCATATTTGTTCTAACCTAACCAAGTCAATGATGGGGGCAAAAGCACTTAAACTTGATCTCTCAAAATAGCTCCTTTAAACCTCTTCTACTGTGGGAGATAACAATACTGAAAAGAATACAAAATATAGATGTACAGCTGCCTCTACAGCCTGACAAGAAACGGGCTGCTGCCAGCATCCAGAAGCACCCCTGTGTCCCCTAACCATGAGCCATACCCATCCTTCACCTCCACCGCTAAGTTCATAATCCTTAGTCTATCATCTCCACGTGCTGAAGAGGCTCTTTCAGTACCCCACGCTCAATTCCAAAATTCTGAAACTGTCTGTAAACTTACTCAGGTGGGCAGATACCCTGGAGTTCTGGAAGTGATTATCTGTTCCATTTATATAGGATTGAAGCTCTGATTTTGGGGCAAAATCTTGCTATTGAACAAGAGACGCTGCATGAATCAAGCTGAAGTGATCTGTTCGTCCAGATAAATCTGAACGCATCCCTGAGAATGACCTGCGTGGCAACACAGTGTCCTACCCTCCAGCCTGGCACAAGAGAGGGAAACATCAGTGTGCACAGAAGGAAGAGCCAGAGGCAGAAGACTCAGCACAGGCATTAGGCCATGAGGGATAGGACAGAAGAGGAATTCCAAAAGACTGCTTCCTGGTCGCTAGTTAGGGTAGTGGCTACTGCGGATGGAAATGGCAAAGAAGGCAGGAGAGGAGGTGGTGATGAACAACTTCAAACTTAGCCTAAGAGAGGCCCAGGAACCCGCCTCTACTGAGTCCTGATGTGCCTTACGCCTTATTGCCAGCTGACATTAATACAGCCAGGTGGAGCCCAGACCCCAGCCCAGGCTCTCGGCAGCCCTAGCACGTTGCAGATTTCAGTGTGTACAGGAATCACCCAGATCTTGTTAAAGTGCAGATGCCCACAGTAGCCTGGGGTGGAGTCTGAGACTCTGCGTTTTTGCTCTCTTCTTTCTTGGATCCTTACCTGTTGCTGAATCAACTGGAGGGCAGTGGCACCTATCACTGGGCTCACTGCAACCTTGACCTCTTGTGCCCAACACTAATTCCACCTCAGCCTCCCATGACTGGGACTACAGGCATCCCACCGTGCCCAGCCAATCATTTATTTATACAAAGGAGTCTTGCCGTGTTGCCCAGGCTGGTCTCCCCCAAGTCCTTGGGCTCCAAGCAATCCTCCCGTCTGGGTCTCCCAAAGTGCTGGGATTACAGGCATGAGCCACCACACCCGGCCAGTTCTACTTTAACAAGCTCCCAGGTCATATGGATTTTGCTAGCCCAAGTCCCACACCCTGATCTGCAAAGGGATGCCAGGACTTATGGCTTGCATCCTCTCCTGCAACCACCCAGCCCACAATAAACCCCACAGCCAAGACTCTGGGAAATGTTGAGCCTAATTGTGTCTCTAGAGCCAGAGAGAAACTGCCCTGGAAAACACCTTAGGTCCAACAGCTGCTTGAAATGGATACTTACAAAGAAGCTCAGCACTGCTGGGAAAGCTACCTGAGCTTTGCAGCCTGAACTTTCGCTCTGAGAAAAGAAAGCAACCGGACTCCCGGCTCCAGGACTGAATCTCACCTCTCAAAACTCCTGCCTGACCCCTCCAGCTTCCCAGCTGGGAATGCAGAAAGAGAAACACCCAAACGCCCCCTCCAGAGAAGTTGAAGGCTGTGCAAAGATTTGCATATTTACTCTATGCCTATAGGCCTACAATGGGCATCTTGGCTTTGGTACTGAGCTCCACAAAGGTGGCCATGGTTGGCAGAAATGATTTTGAGTGAGCAGGTAGAAGTCTCACGTCCTGCTTTTTGTTGTTGTTTTGAGATAGTCTTACTGGTGTGTCGCTGACACTAGAGTGCAGTGGTTCAATCTCGGCTTCAATGCAGCTCTGTCTCTCTGGCTTCTGCTACTCTCTGTTTAGTCTCTGGGTATCTGGGATTACAGGCACTCACTGCGACTTCCAAGCACTTTGACATTGTTAGTAGAGACAGGCTGGTCTCAAAACCCCTGACCTCAGTGATCCGGCCCACCTCGGCCTTCCAAAGTGCTGGGATTACAGGCGTGAGCCACTGGGCCTGGCCCATGCTGCTTATGAAGACTGGGTGTTATCTACAGGGAGGAGTTGGAGCCTGGGCTTACAGTAGCTTCAGCCGTAAGCAAACAGAAAATCCATTGCAGGCTATTGAGAGAATGAGGATTATGTGAATGAATTATTAATCACGCTAATTTTGTGAAAGTTCTCTGTTTGGTAACAGACCATTGAGTTTCTGGGCTTGTTCACCATGACTCAACAAATTCAACACAATCAAAGTTGGAAAGAAAGTAGGAGAGAGAAAGGAAGAAAAAGAAGAGTTGGGGAGGAGGAAAGAAGCCTGGCCAACACAGTGAAACCTCTCTACTAAAACTACAAAATTAGCCAGGCAGGGGTGGCACATGTCTGTCATCCTAGCTACTTGGGAGGCTGAGACACAAGAATTGCTTGAACCTGGGAGGCGGAGGTTGCAGTGAGCCGATGGTGCCACTGCACTCCAGCCTGGGCGAGAGAGTGAGACCCTGTCTCAAAAAAAGAGAAAGAACAAAAAAGAGAAGAGAGAGACAGAGAAAAGAAAGAGACAAAGCAAAGCAAAGAAGGAAGAAAAGCAGCGCTTTATTTCCTGTGTGATGCTTTCTCTGTGAAAGGGAGTCTAGGGAGGAGAGGTGAGAAGCAGTGTTTCCATTTTTTGAAGTGGCAATTCCAGGTTCGATGCAGAGATGGTCAAATCCTGGGCCACTAGAGCTGGGGCTGTAACCAGTTGGTAGTCAGCAATCTAGGAAACATGATACAGGCCCAGCCATGCTGGGTAACACGCGTGACAGGCCAGGCCACGCCACAGCATCAGCCCCAGCCTGCAGGCAGTGGTTTTTCACCTCTTGCGTTCTTAGGTATGAAGGGCTATTTAAATTGAAATGGACTTGAATTTCTAGGGTTGGGGCTTTATGAGCCTGGCAGAGGGCTGGGCTATGAGATATTTTGTGCACCATGAGGAAAGATCTAGGCACTTCATTGATGTTTGTTAAATTATCTACTTTACATTAACTATACATGCATGGGCCGGGCATGGTGGCTCATGCCTGTAATCCCAGCACTTTGGGAGGCTGAGGAAGGTGGATCACTTGAGCCCAGGGGTTTGATACCAACTTCTGAATATGGTGAAATCCTGTCTCGCTAAAATCCAAAACAGCCAGGCATGCTGGCACATAGCTGTGGTCCCACCCCGCTTGGGGGCCTGAGAATCACGCAGAACTGGGAGGAGATTGCAGGAGCCAAGATCGTGCCACTGCACTCCAGCCCAGCCACAGAGAGAGACTCTGTCCTGTGAAATAGATACATAAATACAGTATGCCCTCATCATCTGTGCATGTAAAGCTCCTGGATCTGCACATGGGGCGCTCTTTTATTTTCCCAGAGTATACTGATGACATGCAGGGGCTAGTATTGTTGAAATATAACTCAGTGACCGCTGTCAAATAACAGAGAGAGAACTTTTAAAAGAAAAATATTTCTGGGAGTAGACACTGTGAATGGGAATACTATTAAGAGAACAGTATGTGTATATTTGGGGAAATAAAGAAGATAAAATGCCTAAGAAAATGAGGATTATCTAATTGCTTGAAATAATTAACCTTGGCTGACAGGGCAGTTGTTCACAGGTCCTTGCAGAGTATGTTTTGTGTCTAGTTGCAATGGGTTTCGCTCAAGGTAGTTGCACCTTTTGCAGTCTTTCGTAGTAATTTTGGTTTTCAGCTGTACAACCATTACAACCTCCTTAAGGGCCTCTCTGAGCTGTATTTGTGGGTTTGTTTTTTAACATTAGTGACTCCATTTTGATTCTGACCATTTTACATGACATAGAAAAAGAATGTATTATTCATAATATTCCTTCGAGGAACCACTTAACTATGAATTGGGTGAGGAGGGAGATCTTTTTAGATAATTGAGATTAAGAAGATATATCGATTAGCTGTTTTCATGTAACTAACCAACTGGTTATAATATAAACTATTTAGTCACAGATTTTTGGGGGGCTGGCAGTTTGGGCAGGAAGCAGCTGATAAGCCAGTCTCAGAACTAATGTAGTCAGC